GCCGTTTTATCCGTGGTTATAGCTCTGTAGCCGCACCTCTTACGGCTCTGACCTCTACTAAGGTCTTGTTTCAGTGGACTGATGTGGCCCAGAGAGCTTTTGCTGACCTTCGACACCGTTTCACCTCTGCTCCAGTGCTACAGGTGCCCGACCCGTCATTGCAGTTCTTAGTGGAGGTTGATGCCTCAGGAACCGGGGTTGGGGCAGTGCTATCCCAACGATCCTTGTTGGACAACAAACAGCATCCCTGTGCTTTTTTTTCCCGGAAGCTCGCTCCTGCTGAGAGAAACTACAATATAGGGGACCGGGAGTTGCTTGCCATCAAGCTCGCATTGGAGGAATGGAGACAGTGGTTAGAGGGTACCTCTGACCCTTTTTTAATCCTGACTGACCATAAGAACCTGGAGTACCTGCGGTCCGCTTGACGACTCAACGCTCGCCAAGCTAGGTGGTCCATGTTTTTTAACCGTTTCAACTATCTGATCACCTACAGGCCCGGCACCAAGAATGGCAAGCCAGATGCCCTGTCCCGTCAACACGAAGTAGGTGAGGTGGAGGAGAAGCCCAGTCTTGTTCTGCCAACCGCATGTTTTGTTGGAGCTGTCACGTGGGGGATTGAGGAGGCAGTCCGGGCGGTCCAACCTCTCATCAGATCGCAAGAGGGGTGCCCATCTAAGTGTCTATTCGTACCGAAGTTCTTGCGCTCCCAGGTCCTTCAGTGGGGGCATTCCTCTCTCCTGGCCTGCCATCCCAGGGTTCACCGCACTCGGGCTCTACTTAGGCAAAGGTTTTGGTGGCCTTCCATGGTTCGGGATATTCGTAGTTTCGTGGCCGCGTGCGAGACCTGTGCCCAGAGTAAGAACCCCTCTCGAGCTCCGACTGGGTTCTTGCTCCCTCTTCCCGTTCCTAGACGTCCCTGGTCTCATGTGGCGGTGGATTTTGTGACCGGTCTTCCCCTCTCCTGGGGATACACAGGGGTCCTTACGGTTGTGGACCGGTTCTCTAAGGCAGCCCATTTCATACCCATTCCTGGCTTGCCATCCGCTAAGTAGACAGCGCAACTGTTGATCGAGCACGTGTTCTGGCTCCATGGTTTGCCTTTGGATATCGTGTCCGACAGGGGCCCACAATTCGTTTCTCATTTTTGGAGGGAGTTTTGCAGGCTTCTTGGGGCCACAGCAAGTCTGTCCTCTGGTTTCCACCCCCAGTCCAACGGGCAGACGGAACGGCTCAACCAGGACCTGGAGCAGATGCTACATTGTCTGACCTCCCATTCACCTGCAACATGGAGTTCCTACCTGACCTGGGCAGAATACGCCCATAACTCGTTACCGGTTTCATCTACGGGTCTTTCTCCCTTCCAATCCTGCCTAGGGTATCAACCCCCTCTGTTCCCATCCTTGGAGACAGAGGTCACGGTCCTTTCCGTGCACCAGTTTTTACGCCGTTGCCATCGCACCTGGAGGATCGCCAGGACGTCCTTGCTGCGCTCCCAAGCCCGGATGGAGAGGTACGCTAACCGACGTCGATCCCGGGCACCTCCCTTGCGGGTTGGGCAACGGGTCTGGTTGAACGCCAGGGACCTTCCCTTACACGTGGTTTCACGGAAGTTGGCTCCTCATTTTGTGGGACCTTTTCCTATTGCGAAGATCATTAATCCCTCTGCCGTACGCCTTCGGCTCCCTGCCGCTATGCGTAAGATACATCCCACGGTCTTGGGTGCCGGCCCGGCACATACTAGACCCCTCCCTCATTGCTGATTTCCGGCGGGCCCACCCTGGAGGGGGGCTTGGCCGTCCGCCGGGTGGTGGACGTCGGGGGGGGGGGGTACTGTCACGGATCGACCCCGGGGATCCCCGACTGACGTCACGAAGATCACACCTCCGGGGATTCCTTGATTCTACCTTTCCCGTTTTTACGAGCTGTCAGCTCTACGCCGCTATACCGGGTTGTCCGGTTTCTCCGGTTCTCTTTGCATCCACCTACCACAAGCTGTTGCAGATCATTTCCAGATTAGGGAGACTATTTTAGTTATCGGTTCTTGTACCCTGATACGAGATCTTCAAGATTTACTCCTGAGTTCGAGCGTTTTCCTGGTTTTGTCTCTCCGTGTTTTCTGATCGTTGTTTTGCTGTTTTCACCCCGAGTTTCTGCCCAGCCCCTTTGATGCCCGACGTGAATCGCCTGACCTCCGCCTGTACCCCGACTACGAGACCTGCCCAGCCCCCAAGACCGACTCCGTACATCGCCCGACCCCAGCCTGTTCCACGACTACGATCCAGCCTTCTCCTTCTGTTTATTCTGAGCGACACGTGCAAGCGACGCGTGCACTCTGTCTCGGAAAGCTCGTAAGTGCTCAGGGACAGAGACTTTAAGGCACAGTATTTGTCTGCCTCCGGAGGGTTCTGCAGCAGACTGACCACTCTAACCAGTGCTGCAACGACGTAATAATACTTTGGCGTCCTCCGTAATTCTGCGCAAGGCGAACCTCCGCCTGCACGAACCAAACTGCCGCCTGGCCGCACCAGAACAATGCGAGCTTGAGCGCAACTGCGTTCGCGAGAATGGTCGGGGCAAAAAACAAACGCACCGAAACGTCGGGGTCACCACTGAAGAGCCGTGGTCCGGCAGAAAAAATTAAAGAGGCAATCACCACAAGTCGAGCGCCAAAAAGCAGGTGTCTATTTCCGCGTGTCTCAAACACCGAAAAGCCTGCGCCCAGAGAGTCCCTACTTGAGCATGCGTGATCACCACATCCTGCGCGCCTGAGCATAGGAAAGGGAGAATGTGAATTCTGCCGGCAACTGTCGGCAACCTGTTTAAAGCTAAGAGCCATTTTGTCCTAAATATCTGACAGATTTAGAAAAAGCCGCTGGGTATAGAGAAGAGGGTTTGAGACACAATTTTTAATGCAATATGGGTGTATATGCATTTAACACAAAAACAAAACTACAAGTACTTACAAAAAATAAAGACTTTCAGGGGGGAGGGGGGGCATCTCAGTTTTAAATCACTCGGATGCAAAACAGCACAAAGGTGACTAATATTACGACATTGTTCAGTTCTGTAGTGAGTCTTCACCCTCACCCCTCATTTCTTGAGTAAAGTTCGTTTGGCTCTGCAGTTGTCTGTCCTTCACTCTCCACTTCACTATTGTAACTATACTGACTGAGCAGCGCAAAATGTCCTCACCACTCCGAACTCAGCTGGCTATAATAAGTAAATCGGAGAAAATATACCAGTTTTTATGAAGACTTGGGAAGGAATGGTGACGTTTTACTACAAAAAGTATATGAAACAATTAGGATTCCCAAAAAACGCTGAAGCATACTTCCAATCTCAGGCACTGAAGAATACTCTGGAGAGCATTTCATTTGACAAGAGACGTAATCGCGTCGTAGAGAATGACTTTGAGTATGTAAACGATGCAGTACAGATATCACAGAAGCATGCAACAGACCGCCCTCATTCACATAAAGCTAAAGAAATATCTAAATGAATAATAATATTAAGCCATAAATAAAAAATTTATCTTTACGAAAGTATTATCATAATATATTAAGACATGAAAATGTGAATGCGTCTGTCATTCTGAGAAGAGCAGGTTGCTGATGTCACGCCGGCAGGCAGAGTAGGGAACGGACAATCAAGGAATACGGGGTTTATTAGAAAAGAGCAGACAGGGCATAACCAGGCACATGACGTTAATGATGGAACTGGCGGTACATACTCTGACGTGGACTTAAATACACAGGACTTAATGAAAAATCAATAAACAGCTCATAACATCGAGGTTTCACATGAGGTTAACGAGGGGGTCGTGACACACAGATGATCTTACGAGCCGGGCGTGACAGCTGACCCCTAGCCTAAATGGTAGGAGCTCCCACACATTCATGACGCTATCAACTTCTACCGCAGACATCCTTTTTTTTCGGCATGAAACCCGTCTGCGTCTCATATTGGCTTTATGTGCTTCTTTGCAAAATATGTATCAACAATTCAGCACCAAATTGCGTTAGCATCCTTTTGCATGCACATTCACTTCCCTGTTCAATAATCTTACTGCAGGAAACGTCCCTGTATAAGCGATAGCCTAACTAGAGTGCAGAAACGCCCGAGGTGCATACAGATTCTGACTTATGAAGTTCTACCTTGTTGTGTTGTCTTTGTTTTTTCTTTAGAGCCTGGGAAATAGTAGACTATGAAAATTAGCATTCAAATGCAGAATCGCTCTCATAATCAAACTTGAAAACATGTAGACCAGGGGTGTCCAATACGTCGATCGCGATCTACTGGTTGATCGCAAAGATAGTTTGAATTTATTTCTACTAAACTTAAGAAAGGGTATAAAAATGAATGGGGGAGCTGGACCAAGTAAGAAGCCAAAAAACCTACCACTTCCATACGGAATGGGAGGAGAACTTTTTTTCACCATGTCATATTCAAAGTGCTTTTACCTCATCTGTCAGTCTGCAGTTGCTATTCCGAAAGAGGGACATGTGGAGCGGCATTTTCGGACTGTTCATAAAAAACTACGACATTAAATTCTCTCCGAAAAGCGAGCTGAGAAAGAGAAAGGTGAAGGAACTAAAACCCCAGTTCAATTAAAAACACTGTTTTATCACAAATAATAATAATAATAATAATAATAATAATAATCATAATCATAATAATAAATAATACTCAATATTTTATACATAAATATATGTTTTGCATTTTTATAGTAGGTAGATCATTTTGACTTTATATTTATAAGTAGCTCGCAAGCTGAAAAAGTGTGGGCACTCCGATGTAGACAGTACAAGTGAAAAATGTTTTCACCACCTGATACAAACGATGACAGAAGCATGTTGTTTTTCAGAAATTATGCTATAGATTCAGATAGGGGTGTACTGGGTTTTGGGGGAATAAATTTTGCTAAGGTAGGGAGGTGGTCCCAGTCTGGGGGAAAAAAAAAACTCAAAATACAAAAAAAACATCAACCCGGAGGTTCTCTATGTGGTTTCAGAAAGACGAAACTTCCTCTAATAGACGCTCACTGCGGTGCTTGACAGGAACAGACGGAACAGCATTTACCATACAAAGCTGAAAGAAACAAGAGTCGCGCTTTCAGGCAGATTTAAAGGCACATCTGCGACAAACGGAGAGCTTGGGATTATTTAGATGGAACAGCACCTCCGCTTAATCCTCCTCCTCCTCTTCCTCTTCAGTAGCATCATTTACACACTGCCAGGTAAGTAAGCAAGTAAGGCTTATGATATTTCTTAACATTTCATCTGTTCATGGTGCTACAAATGACTAGGCATCACTAAAAGGAAACAAAATGTTTCCAGTAAAAGATTATCGTTACAGCTAGAGGTTTGGGAAACGTCGATTTTAGGATTTATATTTATACTCAAACGAAAGTTAGTCTTTCCCATGGTGTCACGTTCATCTTGACAATTGTTTTACATGCTGTGTGTCAAAATTCTTGCTGTTGTCTCAGTCTTGGTGGTGGGTGTTATTGATTCCCCTGCCAAACTTTTAGGCCTTAGGTAAGGCATTGTTTCACCTCTGTTTTGTATAATAATACAGTTCCCTGTTTTAAAAAAAGAAGTATCTTTTGAATTAAGCCCACAAATAACTGCAGACCTTCAAATTCATTAAATATTTATATATTTGCAGTGACAAGTCTAAATGTTTGGGCTTATTGGGTAATGCTGGAATTAGGTACCAAAAGAGAAGCAAAAGATTAAAGGGGAATTGAAACGGTGAACCTTGGTGGGGACCCTCTTGAGAGCAGTCTTGAGAGCTGCTAGCAGTAGTTGGTCACACGACTGGTCAGCAGGTTGGCTTAACTGTTTGTGGCCTCAACAGAACTGTTTATGGCCTTTGCAAACAAGCCAGTAAACAAATAAGATGTTAACAATTAGTAAAATAAGCAGACAAATAAGGACGAGGTGACCTTTTGTGTAAATGTACATCTCTGTAAGACCCCTGAAGGAAGAAGCACCATTAAAACTCTATTTGTACTCTTTATCTTATGTTTTCAGAGCCATGTAATAATGTCATGCCTTACTGTGAAGCCAATAAAACTCTTCCCTGGATGAGGTAAACCATATGAAAAATACTATAATTCTACATTTTGCTTGAGAATTAAATGATTAGCACTAAAGACGTTCTTTTTCAGTCACTTAAATGGACAGGACTTATTGGCTATTTTCTTTTAAAGCAGAATCTTTGCTTACATAGTTTTCAGTTGATATATTTATGTCATAGGAAAGGATGCAGGAACAGCTTCAGGTATGTTTCCCAAAAGCATAGTTGCTAACAACTGAATGGTTCTAGCTACAGTATGTGAGCTACTAATGGGAGCTATCGGGAAATGCAGCCCCCAGTAAAGTACTTTGCTCCAAGAATCAGGATTATAACTGAAACGTAAATCTGCACCTTGTAGCAGGTTCAGCCTATTCATATCCTCGCCTGTACTGTATGTTCTGTTACTAACAACTGCTTCGGGATGGCCTTCCGTAAGCCAATCGGCAGCAGCTGCCCCGTAACAAACAAACTGACCTGTTAGTATGACCAACCGCATTGTTGCCATGAGAATAGGTGACTCTCATCTTTTCTCCCATTACAGGCTACGGCAAACAAAGCTACACATGTAACTTTATAAAATAAAAAAAAAAACTAAGGAAAAAAAAGGAAATACAGATGGTCCCCGAGTTACAATGATCCGACTTAAGATTTTTCGATCTTACGATGCTGATTCCTATACGCAAAAAATTGCAAATCTTTTTAGGATTTGCGAGCAGGCATCGCTGGCAGACAAGCGTAGCAGCGTATGACGTACAATATATTCATAACACGGTATCGGTGTTAGAGCGCATATTTTTTTTCTGTGTTTTAAGTGTAATAAGTATGCAGAAGTTGGACAGAATCTTAGTGAGTAACAATACGATACACATTCAATGAATGTATGCACGATACATAGCTATTTCATTTTAGGGTTATCACCACCGTTAAAGTTTTTATGGCACATAAGATTATTACTGAGCAAACTTTATTAAATTGCGTTACCAAAATGTATGACTCCCCTTTTACTCCACTTTACATTTAAAGTGAAATACAATATGCTCGATTTACAATATTTTCAAATTATGATGGGGTTATCGGAATGCATCTCTATCGTAATTCGGGGACTACCTGTACATTTACAATAAACTACTGTTATTGTACATTAATAGGACTAACACAAGCCACATTTTCACACATAACTTCACAATAAGCGTGGCTCAGTGGGCTAAGTCTGTGTGCCTGTAATCACAAGGTTGTGGACAGGTTGCTCTACAAAGAGCAAGTTGAGGGAGGTGTAAAAAAGAATTTCCCCACGGGGACAATAAAGGATCGATTATTATTAAACTTAGCATGTAGAAATAGTATTTTCATATGACCAGTATTGCACCCCTGGGGAAAATTGCCTATGACCATAACAGCTGGTTGGGTGGTGGGGCCTCTCACTCCAAACGCAACTTAACAGCGATGCCCATTTACAGATGCTATGAGGAATACATAGCAACCTGCACCATTGGGAGAGGCAGGACTTTCCCGAGAATTCGGGGGATTCTGGACGCTTACATTCGGGACTTCGACTCAGCTGAAGAGGCAAGAACGACTCACCTTAGATAAGGCTTTACCACTTCCTATTATACTCAATCATAAATTCTTTATCTCACTCATAAATGGGAAAAAATAGACAACAGGTAATTTGGTAAATGGCTTAATTTCTAATTACTGTAACACATGGGTTAGCTCATTTTCCCATTAAATTATTGAGATACCTTTGTTAAATTAATGCAGCCTGCAATATACATAGACAGGCAGCCTGTAGTCATTGTGGAAACACATTCTGCGATAGCCTGCACATCCAAGCACTGCTTCAGAATTCGTCTGGATATTGGAGGACCAGTGCAACATTTGAGTTTTCATTTATTTTATATAGGCCTACCTGTATTATTTTCTGCATACTTGCTGCCTGTCCTTGTAAATGACGCAAACCCATGCATCACCTGTTAGGCCATTTTGAAAAATCTCCCTTTGTTTTTTTTGTTTCCCAGGTGACAAAACACACCATAGGAGGACCCAGTATTCACGTCCCTAGCAGAGTTATGAATCGCAGCTGGACTCCCGGAAAGCGTGTGGCCGTGATGCTCTTCAACAGTACCCTCTTTGAGGTCAGCACAGATTTCCTGTCTGGTTCAATAGGTGATGCATGCACACAATGCACAGCATTTTTCCAGCTGAGGTATTGTCAGGCAGGCAGACAGACGTATGCATGCATGCATGTATGTACGTGCGCATGTATGTATATAATTGTACATCACGCACAAAAGCTTACAGCTAGTTCTATTACGTGCAGAAAAGACAAAACACTTTCTGAATTCTCTCTGGGTTCAGGGAGTCAATGACAGCGAGTTCCTGGGAAACCATGTGATCAGTGTAAAGGTCGGCCACACCTCTCTTCACAACCTTCCTGAGCCTGTGACTCTCACCTTCAAGCATGACCAGAAGGCAAGTACCTGCGCCTGGAGCTATCCTGCTTGTTATGTGTGTGTGTGTGTGTATGTATGTATGTATATATATATATATATATATATATATATATATGCAGGGATTGACATAACCAGTATGCAAGTATGCATTCACCTTTACAAGCGATACATGCGTCAATCGATTGTTGTATCAGTATGAATGCGTACAATTTTTTTTGTGCTTTTGCATCAATTTGACAAGAAATTATTGTGCATTTTAACTTTTATATGCTAATTCGTACATCATTTGCGGTATAGAGGTTAAAATGCACGATAATTTCTTGTCATATCTGCGCAAATGCGTGTAAAATACGTACGCATTCACACTTTTGCAACAATTGATTGCCGCACGTATCGCTTTTAAAGGTGAATGCATACTGGTTATGTCAATCCCTGTATGTATGTAATATGTATATATAAACATGTGTGTACTCAAAGCCACATGCCACAACCCAAACACTATTAATGAAACAGCATTTCCCAAATAAAATACAAATACAAGGTTTCACAATGTTTCCTTCCCTGTTTGCAAGTCTACAACTATAACTATTCAGTATAGACATTTTCATTATTGCAAACAGAAGTCTCAAAATAAAGACAAAAACAAACTAGCAAATGCAACAGGGTTCCAACACTAGGCCTATATCTGCGTTGCATGGGTTCACTGAAGCAGCATCGACTTTGCTCTTAAAACAGAAGGTGAATGTTTATGAACAACAACAAAAAAAATCTAATCTAAATCTACAAACTATTTGGCATATTGCTCTAAAATCAGAAGCCTGACAACCACTTAAAGTCTGGAAAGACCCTGATTTTAAGTGCTTACTCTTCAATAAAATAAAACAAGTACAAATTAGAATATCTTACGAAGGTCTCACATTGTGTACAACTAGGAAGGCATATTATTGGTTTCTAATACAAACATTAAAGAGCCATAATTGTAATACACAATAAAAGTATATCAATATAAAGGGTATTGTGTTATCCTATATCTCATTACGAAAATATATCAATATACTGTAAAAATCCAATATACTGTCTGTATTGGTATTGGGGGAATTCAGTTTAGTTTACAGTAATTTGTTCCTTTTTCCTCTCTTCTCACTTTACTCTTTACAATATGACTGTGTCTGTGACTCACTTTTCTCATGGTGTCTCACTGCTGGTCTAATGTCATATCAGTTGACTTTGGATGTGATATTCGCAGTGAGGTCTGTATATTAGTTCACAGTCTACATCTAGAAGTTTTTTAAACGTTCACAATCAGTGCGACGATGTGCTCGTGTTTTTTCCCAGGCAGATTTCCTGGCTTGTTACCGGTTTTGTTTACGTGTCTTTCAGGATTTGCTTGGATCCTGTAAGTTTTGGGAAGAAGCAAAGGGAACAGATAATGCAGGTTTAGATTCCCACATCTCTCCACCCTCTACTGCATAAACACCTTCTAAGTCAGATAAAGCTGACATGCGAGTTGCTGATATCACCGTATTTCCCGCAGGACGCTGGAGCACAAGGGGATGTTCGACTAATCGAACGGACGGGGAATTTATATGCAGCTGTGACCATCTTAGTTTCTTTGCAGTACTAGTCGTGAGTAGATACTACAAAATGGCTATGATTTGGAGTTGCATACAAAACACAAAAATAATGCTAGATTTATGTTATTTGGACAATAAAATGTCCCTTTGTTGTTGTCTAACAGATGCTACATGAAGTATTCCTTAATTATTTGCCCAGTTCTAAATTCTTTAATTGGTTACAAGGTAGGAGTTTCATTTTTGAGGTCTGATCCTCACCACTTAAGTTGGATGGCTTCTTGAACTCTTAAACTTCTAGTTGCTTGCATCATGATGTTGTGTGTTATCTGCAGTGAGAAAATCATAATGCTTCCTGTTTCCCATCCATCTTGATCAGAACACTGGAAATATCAGCGATGCTCACGCACGCTCCCTCAGCTACATCACTTACCTTGGGTGCGGACTTTCCATACTTTGCACCTCCATCGCTATCATCATGTATATATGTATGAGGTGAGCCTTTTTTCTACAAAGTTCTAGGGCCATTCTTATCAAAATTCCCACCAATTTTGTTATCTAACCGAACGCAGCATGCGCTGCGCTACGCTCTGAAACCCATTATTTCTTATGGCTTGCGCTGTGTATCAGTAGTGCCGCTCGGCGAGCATCTGCATGGACCGCAGCTGAGATTTGACCACTGTGGGCTGTGACGCATTGTCGCACGACCGATACAAACAAGGCACCGAACTGGGTCCAGAAATCGAAGTGGAAGACAAACTTATATAGTTCTCAGAGCTATATGACACAAGCTTACCATCTTTTAGCATGTGAAATATGCATCGTCGTGTCTGACAGCGAGCTGGGGCAACAACGAAATGACAGGAGAGAGTTCTGAAAACCACGCCTACTCTCTTGCACGGAACCCTGTGACGAGCGCAGCGGATGCCGCGTTCGGTCGGAAAGCCCTTTAATTCACTGCTGAACGTTCACATCTGGAATAAGTGTTGCTTAATAAATATGTACTGTGAAATTAGGTCAATTTCTAACACCTTGTTATCTTCTAACACAGCGGTCACTAACAGGCGGACCGCGGTCCGGGTCCGGACCCAGAAGCTGTCCCATACCGACCCGGACCGACAGCCAAAACATTTAGTTATTATTTCAAAACTGACGGGGCGCTTTTATTTTAACCGGCGCAGCGTTTGTAGTCTTTTCGGTAGTGGTTTAGCAGTAGAACCTGAAATCGTAAAGCTGAAAAGTTTTGAAATACAATATGTATTATATAACACGTTGGATAAATAGACGTAGTTTATTGTTGATT